GAAAAGCAAGCATTTACTAAATGTACTGAATAGGACTTACATTCCTTTCAATATTTTACCCTGATTTTAGCAGAGATGCAGAGAAGCATATTTAGTTTCTTTAAAAAATCACACCTGTCAGGAGGATACAGACAGCTCAAGAGGTATGCTTAGATATACAGAAAAATAAACACATTTTTTTTTTACATAGAATTAAGGATAATGATTATGGCTCTATATTGCAGGAAAAAGCTGTTTCAGGTGTTTGAAAAAAGCCAAATTCTCCAACTTCCTAACGGGGGGCAGAGCACCCTTTCAGACCATCCCCCCAGCCATCCTCACGTACTTTGTGCCCCCCCAGATATTTGGGGTGCATAATGCCTCTGGGTAGATTAACTTAATTCAGAATGAATCATGTTATAATACTGAACTGAAGCAATCTTTATATGATTAAGCAAGTCAAAATTGATTAAAGTATTAAGTAGAAATTGCTGAAAATAACTCTGTGAGTTCATAATGTGGATGGGTGATGTACTTACACAACATCTTTCTATATCGTTTCCCCGTCTTGATTTCCTAGTCTCAGTCAGCGCTATCGGAGTTGGTGTTGCGTTACAACGCTGATAGTGTAGCTGGCTCTTCGGTTTGCCTTTCCTTTCCTCTGCATGGTGACTGTACACTTTGGGTGTCTCCTCTCTCCTCTCTCCTCTCCTCCCACATGAAAAAATACTATATGCTATGGTATAAATACTATAGTATTCACTGTAGTGTTTTTTGCTGACTTTACTGTAGTATTTACTGTAGTATTTACTGTAGCATACTGTAGTATACTGTAGTATTTACAGTTAACTGTAGTATAAATACTGTAGTAAAAGAAAACTGTAGTATATACTGTAGTAATTAATGTAGTTTTTTTTGCAGATTTCAGTATACTGTAGCATTTATGGTGGTATTTTTGAAGACTGTACTATACTGTAGTATTTACTGTATTGTTTTTGCATACATTACCATAATATTTACTATAGTATTTTTGTTTTATTATCTTTGTCATAGAAGTGGAGTCTTTCTCCCTCAGGAAACCTACGGAAGTAAGAGGAATACTTAAAGTGCAAATGTTCCATAACCTGTAGGTAGGTAGGTAGGTAGGTAGGTAGGTAGGTCTGAACGGATAGTTCAGAGCTTCTGCTCTTTTCTATAACCTGAGAATTGCGATATGGGGGAGGGGAATGGAACGGGTTTATGCAAATTAAATAATTGACTGTTGTTAAAAAAGTGATTTTGCGGACATTACGGTAATATTTAATATAGTGCTTTTTTTGCGGATAATACTATAGTATTTACTATGGTATTCTACAGTATACTAAAACATTCTTTAGTAAGTACTACACATGATCGAATAGTATAGTATTATACAGCTTACTACAGAATTCTATAGTAAGTACTGTAGTATTCTATAGTAAGCTGTAGTATTTTTTCATGTGAGCTGTAAGGTCTCTAGAGAGGAAAGACAGGACTCTTGGCACCGCGCGCGTCCCAGAGGGCTGACCAAGGTGGCAGCAGCTATTTTTTCATCTCTTCAAAGTGCTGGCTCAGAGGGCGCCCAATTAATTCCACATGACCGTGTCAGGTGGACACTTCAGTTTGATAGGATGCAAAACCTGCACTGTTCTTCAAGGTCTTCTAGAGAGGAAAGACAGGACTTCTGGTACCGCGCGCGTCCCAGAAGGCTGAGCAGTGGTCTTTTTTCTTATCTTCAAAGTGCCGTCTTAGAGGGCGCGCCATTAATTCCACATGCGCGCGTCAGGTCAGGTGGACACATCAGTGTGATAGGATGCAGTCCCTTTAATTATCCTTTATCCAGTTCCATTATATACAGCAATTGTATAAAGGTTTTATTAAATCAATGTACATTAATGATGGGAATTTCTTGGCAACAGTAGTTTCAATCTTCATCATTAGACTGTTTTTTGGTTTGAATATATAACCCCCAATTAATGCACCCATCATTCATTCAAGAGCCCGTTCAGTCATTCGTTATTAGCAGGTGGATGATTGGTGAGACTAGTGACTCGAACATTTTGTGATGTTTATCCAACAGTATAACATTTTTGGATATGCAAGAGCGCGCGCATATGCACGTACGCACTCTCCTCTCTCTCTCGCTCTCTCTCTCTCTCTCGCTCTCTCTCTCACACACACACAATATTGTCTAAACGAAATGGAACTCTGCAATCCAATTTATCATTTGAAGTGAGAGAAAACCAGGGTAGGCTAAAGTATATTTGGTCCGCGGTAACGCACAACTGCTCTACTCGGCTATTTCAATCTATTTTAGGGTGGGGGCCCCGCATGTCTGGCAGAACCTGATTAAGTAGAAGGTTTACTCTCCCACTAAGTGAGAGGCCATCACTTACACTTTAGACTACTCCATGTATTACCGTCGGATCACTGTCACATTCACATAGGCTAGCCTACATGGTGTCATTTAGCTATATGACTAAAACGAGAAGAGACTGTGTCAATATGCATTATCCCCTCCACAACAATTTTAGTCTACTGATATAAATAATATGGAATAACATAACCGATACATTGATCATTTTGGAGACATCAACATCACATCATATCCGACGGTCTTAATCAGCGCAATAGGAATCTAAAAATGTAATGAAATAAATGAAATAATAGTACATAGGCTTATAATAAACAATGTGTAATAATATCCACATAATTACCAGTAGTTTGAGTGGATCGATAAATCCCTGTGGTCCTGTAGAGAAGGTGCGCGTAAAAGGGACGGACATCTGTTCGATGCTGCTTCGTGGACACCATCTGAAGGTGTCTCACTTCAGGCACTCGGGACGTTTGGCAGTCTCTAGCCTACTCATCATCGTGTCCTACAGAATATCAATCGTGTTTAACAATGACCCACTGTTACATATTCAGTCATCCACTTACATCTCTGCATAGCCATATCTAGCGGGTCGGCTGCAAGACCGTGTTGCTTGCTTCCTTTGATATCTGCCGCACTCTGCGCGACCAGTGTCCTCTTCTGCTGTGAGCGCTCGCGCGTTTTGACATTGACTTTGACTATTGATTCTTGCTTACAGAAAAAACTGACGAAAAGCAGAATTTACTTCATTAAAAAATGTCACTTAAAAATACATAATACATGACACAAAAACACAGTAGAGGATTGTTTATTTTATATATATATATATATATATATATATATATATATATATATATATATATATATATATATATATATATATATATATAAAGGAAAACTGAATTGTTGAAAAATGGAATGATTGAAATACAATTTTGAAGACATTTAAGAGCTAGAGCTGTTGTACAGTCTGACAGCAGTGGGTAGAGTGGCGTTTCTCAGGAGCCTGGTGGTGCAGTCACCTCTTTTGGAAGGGAGCAGGTCGAACAGTGGGTTCCCCCGTCGCTTTAAAATATCCAATTTCATATCCACTGCCCTTGGGGCATTTCTCTGCTGGAGACTAGACAATACTATTATTTCCCAGGATCCATCAAGAGTTGGGCTAGTAAGACCACGGAGGTCTGTCTGTCCTTGTGTGATCTCAGGTGCAGCTGAGGGTGTATAATTTAAACCCAACAGCGCCAGTAATTGCGCAGAAAACCCGATTCCTCGAACAGTCCATTCTCATTCTGTTGTGCAGTGTTCAACTTTCACCCTCAGTTCTATTGGTAGTAATGATGTCCCATCTTTCATCTGGATCAGTTTCTATGAGAGCAATAATTTAAAGTGTTGTAGGCTAGTTGACCTTCTATTACAAGCTCATTCTTTTATATCATTATTAGCCTTTCAAGGAATCACCATTGATGCAAGGAAATTCAGAGCGCTAATCAGTCGAAGCATTATCACATTCTAACCACAGAGATAGCTTACAATGACCAAACTTAGACTCATGGGGCACTAGATATAAATGCTCAAATTTATTTTTAAGGGGTGAAATTATTATATGCCTAAAGCCAAGGCTATCAAATGATCGATTTGGCTATTAGCCTAGTATGCTACCATGTTGTGCTGCTGCCATGTTGTGCTGCTGCCATGTTGTGTTGCTACCATGCTGTTGTCATGTGGTGTTGCTACCATGCTGTGTTGTCATGTGTTGCTGCCATGCTATGTTGTTGTCTTATGTCTCTCTTTATGTAGTGTTATGGTGTCTCTCTTGTCATGATGTGTGTTTTGTTCTATATTTTAATTTTTTATCCCAGCCTCCGTCCAAGCAGGAGGCCTTTTGCCTTTTGGTAGGCCTCATTGTAAATAATAATTTGTATTTAGGTTATAGGTATAGACTAACATGCTGATTAGCCTAGCCTACTAATTAATATAATAAAATGCCATTTAGCAGACGCTTTTATCCAAAGCGACTTACAGTCATGCGTGCATATATTTTTTTTGTGTATGGGTGGTCCCAGGGAGCTAACCCACTACCTTGGCGTTACAAGCTCCGTGCTCTACCAGCTGAGCTACAGAGGACCAATTAGAGGTTGTCATATAGGCAATAGCATTATATGTTTGCAAATCCCCTAAATGTTTGAAGACATCCTCATATTATTTTCCGTTTTTCATACTCAATGTCAATCATCATAATGGGTTGAACGGGGTATCGTCCCAATAAATCGTCCCAATAAATAAAACTACAGCCAGTGCCGTGCGGCACTCAGGACTATTCCTCGCTTTCCCATAATGCTTGAGCTTGGTGTGATGCATTGTGGGATTGCAAAATTAGGACGGAAAGTGTAGGGTAGGCTATCACGCAAATAGAATGATCACTGTTTAAACCTAAACTAAATATAGAATTTAGGTATTATACATCGTATCGATTTCTATTGCTCTTGAAGATCATCTGCAAGATCATTTAACTGCCACACTCCTCTTCGTTCTCTTATCAACGTTCCAAAAGAGGTAAAACAAGTTGGCCAGGAAGTGACCAGCCTTTCTCACACGCGGATTCTCGAGTCGGTGGCAAAAACAGAGGGACATGGCATTTACAGACACCACAGGCTCAAGTCACAAGTTTTTAATGGAGGCGTCGCTACTCTATCAAGACATTTGTCCGGAGCAATCACGTTTTCTCATGTAAGGATTCTCTCTTTAATAAACGTAGAACGTAATAGCTACATCTCGTTCATATTTGTTGATGTAATGATAATATAGTGACACTAGGTGGCAGAGTAGCACAGTGAAATTCATTTCAAATTGTGTAGTTTTACGAAATACAATATCATGCCAAGTACATTTGTTCCGTTTTGGTATTGTTCTTTTCACAATGTTTATTTTTTAGAACCAATGTCATTGCCATAGCTATTGTTTTCTTGAAACAATATCATGCATTTTGTAACCACATATCCAACATGCACACTAGCCATGTGCACACACACGCTTTGCCAATGTACAGAGATAGTCCCTAACCAGGTCTGCTTTGTCTCCTACAAATGTCAAACGTTTGCATGCTTCTGTCCTTTATGTTTGCGTGCATCAATTACAATAGCAGGCAGCCTTAATGAGCTGACAGTGAGACCCAGCTGGCAGAGACTGTGCCGTACCATCTTGGTGCCTCTGGCTGTCTGCTCACCATCCTGAGCCCCCCGGGCAATCAATGCCATGACATTGCTAAGAGCTCGCTGCTCTGGAGCTGGAAGCGGATAGACTGCTACTATGGTGCCAGTCCGTCACTGAACATATTTTGTGGCACAAATCCAATGCAGGTCAATAGTACCTATATTAGCATTTTCACGCTTAATATCCAAGAAGGAAAAACTGAATTGCTTTCATGCAGGAATGGCTTGAATTGTGAGAATGACAATCTATTTTCATAATGAGACAAATTTATTGGGTTTCTATCCAAAGTTGCAAAGGAAATGTTGTGATCTATTGAATAAACACAATAGACCAGCAAAATGGATAGTGTGGCGGTATAGCAGGAACAGTGGCATCTAGTGGTCAAAAACTGGTACTTTCACACTACTTTATGGTAAAAAATGCAAGTGACACAATGACACACATCTCTGAACAGGGGAAAAAAGACATCTCCAGATTCACAGGGAATACATTACATAGTATGGAGAAGCAATACTACAAGCCACAGCTTCATACTACTTGTCAAACATAGAGAACTGATTCTGTATACTGGTTGTTGGGGTGGGATTGGCGTGGGGTCCGTGGGTGGTGTCTGACATTTCTTTGGAGATTCCTTGTGTCTTACTCATTGGTAGGAAGAAGTTTGGCCCAAATCGGATGTTGGGTACAATTGAAAATGGTGGGTGTAAGAATCATCTTTCTTGTACTTTTTGAGGTGGAACGACCGTACGTTTGATTGAAACCAACTAATCAAAACAGGAACTCATTCCATTTTCATCACCTTTTGATTTCACAGAGTGACGACTGCATTATACTGTAGTTAGAGAGAGAGAAAGTCAAGTGTAATTTCTGGAGCAATCCTCTAAGCCAGGGTTGCCCAACCCTGTTCCTGGAGAGCTACCCTCCTGTAGGTTGTCACTCCAACCCTGTTCCTGGAGAGCTACCCTCCTGTAGGTTGTCACTCCAACCCTGTTCCTGGAGAGCTTCCCTCCTGTAGGTTGTCACTCCAACCCTGTTCCTGGAGAGCTACCCTCCTGTAGGTTGTCACTCCAACCCTGTTCCTGGAGAGCTACCCTCCTGTAGGTTGTCACTCCAACCCTGTTCCTGGAGAGCTACCCTCCTGTAGGTTGTCACTCCAACCCTGTTCCTGGAGAGCTACCCTCCTGTAGGTTGTCACTCCAACCCTGTTCCTGGAGAGCTTCCCTCCTGTAGGTTGTCACTCCAACCCTGTTCCTGGAGAGCTTCCCTCCTGTAGGTTTTTAACTCCAACCCTGTTCCTGGAGAGCTGCCCAACCCTGTTCCTGGAGAGCTACCCTCCTGTAGGTTTTAACTCCAACCCTGTTCCTGGAGAGCTACCCTCCTGTAGGTTTTAACTCCAACCCTGTTCCTGGAGAGCTACCGTCCTGTAGGTTTTCACTCCAACCCTGTTCCTGGAGAGCTACCCTCCTGTAGGTTGTCACTCCAACCCTGTTCCTGGAGAGCTACCGTCCTGTAGGTTGTCACTCCAACCCTGTTCCTGGAGAGCTACCCTCCTGTAGGTTTTAACTCCAACCCTGTTCCTGGAGAGCTACCCTCCTGTAGGTTGTCACTCCAACCCTGTTCCTGGAGAGCTACCCTCCTCTAGGTTGTCACTCCAACCCTGTTCCTGGAGAGCTTCCCTCCTGTAGGTTGTCACTCCAACCCTGTTCCTGGAGAGCTACCCTCCTCTAGGTTGTCACTCCAACCCTGTTCCTGGAGAGCTACCCTCCTGTAGGTTTTCACTCCAACCCTGTTCCTGGAGAGCTACCCTCCTGTAGGTTGTCACTCCAACCCTGTTCCTGGAGAGCTTCCCTCCTGTAGGTTTTTAACTCCAACCCTGTTCCTGGAGAGCTGCCCAACCCTGTTCCTGGAGAGCTACCCTCCTGTAGGTTTTAACTCCAACCCTGTTCCTGGAGAGCTACCCTCCTGTAGGTTTTAACTCCAACCCTGTTCCTGGAGAGCTACCGTCCTGTAGGTTTTCACTCCAACCCTGTTCCTGGAGAGCTACCCTCCTGTAGGTTGTCACTCCAACCCTGTTCCTGGAGAGCTACCGTCCTGTAGGTTGTCACTCCAACCCTGTTCCTGGAGAGCTACCCTCCTGTAGGTTTTAACTCCAACCCTGTTCCTGGAGAGCTACCCTCCTGTAGGTTGTCACTCCAACCCTGTTCCTGGAGAGCTACCCTCCTCTAGGTTGTCACTCCAACCCTGTTCCTGGAGAGCTTCCCTCCTGTAGGTTGTCACTCCAACCCTGTTCCTGGAGAGCTACCCTCCTCTAGGTTGTCACTCCAACCCTGTTCCTGGAGAGCTACCCTCCTGTAGGTTTTCACTCCAACCCTGTTCCTGGAGAGCTACCCTCCTGTAGGTTGTCACTCCAACCCTGTTCCTGGAGAGCTACCCTCCTGTAGGTTTTCACTCCAACCCTGTTCCTGGAGAGCTACCCTCCTGTAGGTTGTCACTCCAACCCTGTTCCTGGAGAGCTACCCTCCTGTAGGTTGTCACTCCAACCCTGTTCCTGGAGAGCTACCCTCCTGTAGGTTTTCGCTCCAACCCCAGGTGTTACTAACCTGATTCATCTTATCAACCTGCTAATTATTAGAATCAGGTGTGCTAGATTAGGGTTGGAGCAAAAACTTACAGGATGGGAGCTCTCCAGGAACAGGGTTGGGCCGTCCTCCTCTATCCATGGGCTGCTGTTCTGTGGCCTGTGTTTGAGTTGGGCCTGGGCCAGTAACCTCAGAATCCCCCGGCCTGTTTTTACTCTCACTCACCTGAGCCAGGAAATGTGTGGTTGAATTTTAAAAAGGAAATCAAAATAAAAGGCCCAGTTGGGGTGGATTTATGGGTCGTTACTTTTAGGCTACCCGTTAAGAGTTTATCCAGATTTTTTTTGTCTCTCTGTGGAAAGAACCGATTATGGAAGATGTGTTGGACAGATCGTACTGATATCACAGCTGTCCATGCCTGGAGGGTTATATATGTTGAATAGATAGATATTAAGATGACTTTTTAAGCCATTCAAGGGGAACTCCACCAAAAACAACATGTCTGATTCATTATATTTAAAAACATCTGATTGGACCTTTCTTTCTTTTCTTTTTAAAGGGAGAATATATTCCCCTAACACATGTGCATGTATTGAAACGGATAGGCAAGATGCAGCACAGAAATGACCAGGATGTGAACCCCGGTCTCTGACAACATATAGACCAGGGGACTCAACTCTTAACCTAAGAGGTCCGGAGCCTGCTGGTTTTCTGTTCCACCTGATAATTAATTACACACACTTGGTGTCCCAGGTCTAAATCAGGCCCTGATTAGAGGGGAACAATAAAAAAAAATGCAGTGGAACTGGCTTCGAGGTTTCGAGAGTTGAGTTTGAGGGATATAGACTATGAGAACTATAGTTGTGGTAGGTGTTACCCATTTGAGCCACACTCAAGCACAGATGATTTCACCTTTCTTACGTGTGAAGTCTACAATTGTGTGTTAGGCTACTCATTGGTACCATATCTTGTTATTGGTTACATGAAGAACAAAAGTTAGTGTGCTAGCTGTCAAAAGGATAATCAACCAAGCAACTTGATGGCATGCCCTGTAAGGATATGATATGTGTAGAATACAGCAATTATATCATCTTATTTATCCACAGAGCAGTCCTACTGCGTACTATACTTAAGGTTCCCTGAAGTTCCTCCTTGCTGTTTGTGTCTCCACTTATGGTTTCAGCCATGCGTCACTGGAGTGTTTGTTTTCAGTGTTAGTGTCATTACTCATGTACAAACATGCCACCCTATGTGTTTTGGGAGCCTTGTAGTGTTACAGGGCTTGCCCCCCAACCCTCACCCTCTTTTCCCCTGCCACCCTAGCCAAGCTGTTGCGTTGGACCATCTGAGTTATTATTTCTGAGGTTTGGTTAGTAAACAGGATGTTGCTCTCTCTCCTCCACACTGTGATTGTATCAATTGTCCATAGAGGCCCAGAGACTGAGCCGTGCTGCGTTCCAGACTTTAAACTCTTTGTTGATAGCATCTGGCCCAGAGTGGGCTCTGCCCTGCTCTAACTGGGTAGTAGGGGCCAGTGTTTATTTCTCACTAAGTGTGCATTTAAAAGGAGATTAATGTGAAGAATGTTAATTAGATTAGCGCGGCAGAGAGCCCCCCCTTCCTGTATCACATCTCCAGTGGTGATTGCTCATCTGGAGAGCGTGATGGGATGTCTGCCTGGTAGCTTAGTTTGGTGACTAAATGGGGCCATTTGGAAATGTTTATTAACTGGAGTGATTCGTAGTTATGTGAATTAGGTCACTTTGCGTTGTTGATCTCACTTCTGAAGGTTATGAGATGTTTCATTCTGGTTAATAGATGACAGACCCAATGTTAAAAGAAGTCAGAAGTTGATCATGTGTTCTAGAAAAGTCTAAATGATCCTCTGTATTGTTTTATTGATCCAAGGTTAATTTCATTATTTGAACAAGCAGTTAATTCCAACAGAGGAGTATGAGGAATCACCTTGTTCAAGAGTCTGTAGAAAGACAATTCTGTAGCCTACTTTTCTTGACAGTTTTGCTCATCCAGCGCATTTCCTGCATCTCACTGTCACTTGTTCCCCCCGTCTTCTTTCCCCCCTCATCCCCCCCTATTGATGACATTAGCCTTTCCCCTCTAGCCTAATCTAGATGCTTTAATACAGCCTGTAGATTGGAGAGATTACTGACACTTGACCATGAGACCTCCAAATATCATGAGTCACTTTTAGCGTAGTGTAGTGTGGCTAATTGTAGCGTGACTGTTTTGTAAATATATCCCCAGAGGCTCCAAAATAAGAGGCAGACAGTAGATACAAAGCCCAGTCTACAGGGAGGTGAAGCCCAGACTACAGGGAGGTGAAGCCCAGACTACAGGGAGGTGAAGCCCAGACTACAGGGAGGGGAAGCCCAGCCTACAGGGAGGTGAAGCCCAGACTACAGGGAGGTGAAGCCCAGACTACAGGGAGGGGAAGCCCAGCCTACAGGGAGGTGAAGCCCAGACTACAGGGAGGGGAAGCCCAGCCTACAGGGAGGTGAAGCCCAGCCTACAGGGAGGTGAAGCCCAGACTACAGGGAGGGGAAGCCCAGCCTACAGGGAGGTGAAGCCCAGCCTACAGGGAGGGGAAGCCCAGCCTACAGGGAGGTGAAGCCCAGTCTACAGGGAGGGGAAGCCCAGCCTACAGGGAGGTGAAGCCCAGCCTACAGGGAGGTGAAGCCCAGACTACAGGGAGGGGAAGCCCAGCCTACAGGGAGGTGAAGCCCAGACTACAGGGAGGGGAAGCCCAGACTACAGGGAGGGGAAGCCCAGTCTACAGGGAGGGGAAGCCCAGCCTACAGGGAGGTGAAGCCCAGCCTACAGGGAGGTGAAGCCCAGACTACAGGGAGGGGAAGCCCAGCCTACAGGGAGGTGAAGCCCAGACTACAGGGAGGGGAAGCCCAGACTACAGGGAGGGGAAGGCTAGACTACAGGGAGGGGAAGGCTAGACTACAGGGAGGTGAAGCCCAGACTACAGGGAGGGGAAGCCCAGCCTACAGGGAGGTGAAGCCCAGACTACAGGGAGGTGAAGCCCAGACTACAGGGAGGGGAAGCCCAGCCTACAGGGAGGTGAAGCCCAGACTACAGGGAGGGGAAGCCCAGCCTACAGGGAGGTGAAGCCCAGCCTACAGGGAGGTGAAGCCCAGACTACAGGGAGGGGAAGCCCAGCCTACAGGGAGGTGAACCCCAGCCTACAGGGAGGGGAAGCCCAGCCTACAGGGAGGTGAAGCCCAGTCTACAGGGAGGGGAAGCCCAGCCTACAGGGAGGTGAAGCCCAGCCTACAGGGAGGTGAAGCCCAGACTACAGGGAGGGGAAGCCCAGCCTACAGGGAGGTGAAGCCCAGACTACAGGGAGGGGAAGCCCAGACTACAGGGAGGGGAAGCCCAGTCTACAGGGAGGGGAAGCCCAGCCTACAGGGAGGTGAAGCCCAGCCTACAGGGAGGTGAAGCCCAGACTACAGGGAGGGGAAGCCCAGCCTACAGGGAGGTGAAGCCCAGACTACAGGGAGGGGAAGCCCAGACTACAGGGAGGGGAAGGCTAGACTACAGGGAGGGGAAGGCTAGACTACAGGGAGGGGAAGCCCAGGAGGTGAAGCCCAGACTACAGGGAGGTGAAGCCCAGACTACAGGGAGGGGAAGCCCAGACTACAGGGAGGGGAAGCCCAGACTACAGGGAGGGGAAGCCCTGTATTGTAGATAGATCCTTGTTTGCTTTTCTCCCGGATGTTTTCCACTGAACGTTGGAAGCCCTTAGCAAACTTTTTCCACAATAGCATCATGCATGGAGTTTGGCTTACTTGTTAAAAAGTTAATTGTGTATACATTTTGGACACTGAGTAAGAGTGTCTAGTAAGACGGTTTCAAGGGAGTTTCAAAACGCACCTCAAGTCTTTAGATGAATCAACTTCAACTTACAAATTCAGCTTTTGCAGAATTTTAGAAAAGCAAACTCCGCATGACGTCCTCCTTTGGAACCTCTCAAGGCGTTGAATGAAAGGCAAAGTGAAAGAAAAACAACCCAGAACACTAACTCCAAGCTATGGGAGTCTCCCCGGATCAAGCACTGTTCTATCTAAGCAGATAAATAATGAAGTGACAGCAGTTTCACAACAAAAACCTAACTTTTCTTCTTCTGTTGTTTTGTTTCTCAGGGGGAGACACCAGAGAATGAAAGGTAAGAAGTAGCTATAACCTTGGCAAAATCATTTTGTCAGTTACAATTTGGGCTAGTTTATTTCTGTTGCATGTATCCTATCTTCAGCACACCTATTGCTTAAGCACATTATGAGCATGGTGCTGTAGGCACTAGGCAGGAGGGAAGAAATTGCTGCACATTGTTGCCGATAAAACACTATAATCTCATGCTAATCGCACTGAGGTGGGTACTGGTAGCTGTCCCCATCAGACAGACAGACAGACAGACAGACAGACACTCGTGGTACTGCACAGTCCCAATGCCAGACAGAAGACAAAGGGAGGGCTAGAGATTGGTTCAGGACTTTACTCCCCTGATGAAACAAAGACCAGGACGTCCTCATCATCACTGTCATTTGTTATTTAAACTCATGTTCCCCTGGACTCAATCTATTTTATTTGACACTCAACTCCATCCCAAATGTTCATTTTATGTTAAATATGACTATGGCCTAAGCACTGTTATATTTTGTACATTCCCCTTTACCATAGTTCCCATGTTATTTTTTCATCTGACCTAACCTACACACTCATATTCCACTTGACTGTACCATAAACACATACATTACTTCACATCCCTCAACCTCCTCCCCCCTTCTCCTCTCCGCTCCCTCCTCTCCCAGCTCCAGCCAAGCTCCAGCCCATCCCTGAAGACGAGCTCTGTCCCTTCTGTTTCCAGTGGCGTCGCCCAGACAACCACCGCATGCGGCTGCATCCCAAGCGGCGTGCATCGTTGCGGGTGCAGAGCGTGCTGCGGAGGGAGGCCAGGGGTAAGAGGCTCAGCCTGGCTCAGATGGACATTTTACGGAGGTTCAGGGGCTCCTCATCAGTGCTGGTGAGAATAACACTCCTCTTCTCCATTGTCAATCCCCAGTACCTGAAAGTTAAGATGTGGATCGTATTCATTAGTGCAAAACGTAACAAAAATGTTGCTACAGGAAAAAGCATTTTGCATATAAGTTCAGCTAGTCCCTCCCTGCTTTGGTCCCTTTTTTTCTGTTTGGTGTCTTGTGAATATGACCAAATATTATCTATTATATTGACAAGATAGTCAAGTGACCAATGAAAATACATGTCCTCACAGATGGAAGGCAGGCGGGAAGAGGCGAGATCAGATGGGACCATTCTAGCCAATGAGAGGGCAGATACGCATGTGAACAACAGGCACAACTCCAATTTAAAGTCGTTTTTTTTGCCACGTGGGTCCACTTATCAGTGCATTCGTAACAACCTAACCATTAAGAAACTTCTATTCGATCATCTAAGCAAATTAGCAATTACATTTTTTGTTGACCAAATTCGACACTCGTTAACCTCCATAAAGAAATCCCTCACTTTGTGGCCTCTCTGATATGACCCTGGTCTCTACCTTTTACAGATCAGGTAATGTAAGGAAGTGAGGGAAGGAGGCCCCGTTAAAGTATGGAGATTCATCCTGTTTCTAGGTCTCTCCTTGTCTGAAGGGTTACATAATGTTGAAAATTGGCCATTCCCGAAATAGAAGACACGAGACACAGAATGGAGTTGTTCTCGGTACACTACATGACCGAAAGTCATGTAGTGACTTCGGACATCACATTCCAAAATCATGGGTATTAATATGGAGTAGGTCCCCTCCATTTGCTGCTATAACAGCCTCACTCTTCTGGGAAGGCTTTCCACTAGATGTTGGAACATTGCTGTGGGGACTTGCTTCCATTCAGCCACGAGCATTAGTGTGGTCGGGCACTGATGTTGAGCAATTAGGCCTGGTTCGAAGTCGGCATTCCAATTCATCCCAAAGGTGTTTGATGGGGTTGAGGTCAGGGCTCTGTGCAGGCCAGTCAAGTTCTTCCACATCAATCTCGACAAACCATTTCTGTATGGACCTCGCTTTGTGCATGGGGGCATTGTCATGCAGAGACAGGAAAGGGCCTTCCCCAAACTGTTGTCACAAAGTTGGAAGCACAGAATAATCTAGAATGTCATTATACAGTATGCTGTAGCGTTAAGATTTCCCTTCACTGGAACTAAGCCCCAGACCATTATTCCTCCACCAAACTTTATAGTTGGCACTATGCAGTGGGGCAGGTAGGGTTCTCCTGGCATCTGCCAAACCCAGATTTGTCCGTCGGACTGCCAGATGGTGAAGCATGATTCATCACTCCAGAGAATGCTTTTCCACTGCGCCAGAGTCCAATGGTGGCGAGCTTTACACCACTACAGCCGATGCTTGGCATTGCGCAGGGTGATCTTAGGCTTGTGTGCTCGGTAATGGAATCCCATTTCATGAAGCTTCCGACGAACATTTCTTGTGCTGACGTTGCTTCCAGAGGCAGTTTGGAACTCGGTAGTGAGTGTTGCAACCGAGGACAGACGATTTTTACGCACTACGTGCTTCAGCACGCGGCGGTCCTGTTCTGTGAGCTTGTGTGTACCACTTCGGCTGAGCCGTTGTTGCTCCTAGACGTTTCCACTTCACAATAACAGCACTTACAGTTGACCAGGGCAGCTCTAGCAGGGCAGAAATTTGACCAACTGACTTGTTGGAAAGGTGGCATCCTAGTTAGCCTATGGAGATTGCATGGCTGTGTGCTACAGTCGTATGAAAAAGTTTGGGCACCCCTGACAATTTCCATGATATCCATTTATAAATAATTGGGTGTTTGGATCAGCAATTTCATTTTGATCTATCAAATAACTGATGGACACAGTAATATTTAATTAGTGAAATTAGGTTTATTGGATTAACAGAAAATTTGCAATATGCATCAAAACGAAATTAGACAGGTGCATACATTTGGGCACCCCAACAGAAAAATCACATCAATATTTAGTAGAGCCTCCTTTTGCTAAAATAACAGCCTCTAGACGCTTCCTATAGCCTCTAATGAGTGTCTGGATTCTGGATGAAGGTATTTTGGACCATTCCTCCTTACAAAACATCTCCACTTCAGTTAGGTTTGATGGTTGCCGAGCATGGACAGCCCGCTTCAAATCATCCCACAGATTCTCAATGATATTCAGGTCTGGGGACTGGGATAGCCATTCCAGAACATTGTACTTGTTTCTCTGCATAAATGCCCGGGTAGATTTTGAGCAGTGTTTTGGGTCGTTGAAATATCCAGCCCCGGCGTAACTTAAACTTAGTGACTGATTCTTCAACATTATTCCCAAGAATCTGCTGATATTGAGTGGAATCCATGCGACCCTCAACTTTAACAAGATTCCCAGAACCGGTACTGGCCACACAGCCCCACAGCATGATGGAACCCCCACCAAATTTTACTGTGGGTAGCAAGTGTTTTTCTTGGAACGCGGTGTTCTTTTGCCGCCATGCATAACGCCCCTTGTTATGACCAAATTACTCAATCTTTGTTTCATCAGTCCACAGCACCTAATTCCAAAATGAAGCTGGCTTGTCCAAATGTGCGTTTGCATACCTCAAGCGACTCTGTTTGTGGCGTGTGTGCAGAAAAGGCTTCTTCCGCATCACTCTCCCGTACAGCTTCTCCTTGTGCAAAGTGCGCTGAATTGTTGAACGATGCACAGTGACACCATCTGCAGCAAGATGATGTTGTAGGTCTTTGGAGATGGTCTGTGGGCTGTTTTTGACCGTTCTCACCATCCTTCGCCTTTGCCCCTCCGATATTTGACTTGGCCTGCCACTTCTGGCCTTAACAAGAACTGTGCCTGTGGTCTTCCATTTCCTCACTATGTTCCTCACAGTGGCCACTGACAGCTTACATCTCTGCGATAGCTTTTTGTAGCCTTCCCCTAAACCATAATGTTGAACAATCTTTGTTTTCAGGTCATTTGAGAGTTGTTTTGAGGCCCCCATGTTGCCACTCTTCAGAGGAGAGTCAAAGAGAACAACAACTTGCAATTGGCCACCTTAAATACCTTTTCTCATGATTGGATGCACTTGTCTATGAAGTTCAAGGCTTAATGAGCTCACCAAACCAATTGTGTGTTCCAATCAATCAGTGCTAAGTAGTTACAGTTATTCAAATCAACAGAATGACAAGGGTGGCCAAATTTTTGCATAGCCTATTTTTCACATCTGATTTAATTTCATACAACTTAATATTGCTACACTAAAAATCTTTGTCTGGACAATACCCCAGTACTCAGCTTTTATTAGAAAATGAATGGCATGACACTGTGATCATTTTCTGTGACGACAGAGTAAATTGTTATGCAGCCTCAGAGGGGTGCCCAAACTTTTTCATACGACTGTAGATTTTATACACGTGTCAGCAACGGTTGTGGCTGAAATAGCCGAATCCACTTATTTGAAGGGGTGTCCATATACTTTTATATATATCGTGTATGTCCAAACTCCTCCCCTATGGCCTGAGTAGCAGGTCAGAGGATAGATGGGGGCATTTTCCTCCATCAGGGAAACAGAATCGGTAAAGTACCATTGATTGACAATGGCCTAATGAAGACTCATATCGGTCGAAACGTTGCCTCATTGAAAATCTCTGGCAGCATCTAATGCACACTGGCCGTGTCCCATACTTGCGTTCTAAATAGTAGCTTTTTTGGGTATGCGAAAATTGAAAGTTGTATAGTAAGTGAAATATTGAAAATGTAGTATGCTTTAAATGCCAGGATGTCATACTCATTTAGGCTTTTCAGCTAGTAGAATTCGCTGCACACTATTGAGGAAGAGAATGGTGTTTTCACACCGTGTGTTTGACCACAGCTGATGATAGTATGTCATTTTAGTAAGTAGTAGACAAGACAGATTTCGGACACGGCCAGTGTGTTCAAGTCAGGTTAGGTATTCCCCTTTCATTCCTCTAGTCTCCCATCAACTTTGCAGAGGGAAACCCTCAGAGAGTGGGAGCGAACAGATTGCTGTGTCAATAAATCTATCAAATTTCATTTCTAAAGCCCTTTTTGTAACTGCAGTGCTTTTACACTGTCTTGTTTGGTATGCAGCACTGGAGAGGCTCTGTTCTCTCTCTGGTCAGACGCACTGAGGAGGAATCCCTGGGCAGCCAAGGTCAGGTTGTGATAGGCCAGCCTGATAATCATCACAGCCAGGGTCAGGTTATGATTAGCCAGCCAGATAATGATCACAGCCAGGGTCAGGTTGTGATTTGCCAGCCTGATAATGATCACAGCCAGGGTCAGGTTGTGATTGGCCAGCCAGATAATGATCACAGCCAGGGTCAGGTTGTGATTGGCCAGTCAGATAACAATCACAGAGGAACAGAAAGCATTTAGTTAGTGCAGACCCGGTGGAGTCAAATAGGGACAGGGCCAAAGGAGATAAACACTTAGGTTATGTCAGGGTCGAACACAAGTCGTTTGGCGAGAGAGAGTAGTTATGTTGGCCATTTCTATGGTAAAAGGTACACAAGTGGAAATTATACCGCTAGATATCTAAATTGCTTTATCTCTCTAGGTGGTTTTTTAAGACCAAGGACCTCTCCTGTAGTGTGGTTTACTTCACTTCAAATGTGCATTAGTTTCATCCAGAGAAAGCACTGTGTATTTAAACAGTACTATAGCAAATAGCTTCATTATCAGTATGAATTTATTGTTACTCAAGATGAGCTTCCTGAATACAGGAACTCTGTTGTGTAGCACAAGTTGATATTTTCCCTTCTGTCGTGTGACTTACTGGTAAGTGAATCCTCTTTAGCTGCATTTTTCGCAGATATATTTTTACCTTTCAACTTGGAGGTCACTGGTCACTCGCCCAGGCATAAAATAGCAGTGAGTAGAAGAGCTCCACAAGCTGTCTAGGTGCGAAGCCGCGAGGCCCACATAGACATGCGTGGTTGTGAGTGTACTGTTAACCCTTAAGCAGACGAGGCACTCTGAAGACAATAGGAAGAATTCCGTCTCATTCGCTCATTCGCTCGGGGCTGCTGTTTGTCAACACCTTCTAGTGGGAGCTGCCGATGACACTGAGGCAGGAAGATTAGATTTATCACCCTCTCTCTCTCTCTGTTCCCCACCCCCCACCCTTCCTGTCATTCCATGCCAACAGAAGTCTTTTGCTCAGGAAGAGAGTGATAAATAATGGAAGGAGAGTGAGATGAAGGGTCACAGATCCCAGCTTTAAGAAGGGTTTGTTTTTACTGTATGTCTCATTTCTGTTTGCCGTTTTAGGATTAGTGGAGATATTTACTAGGCCTAAATTACCGTTGAGTATGACTTGATTAGTGGCATTCATTTGGCCAGTAAACGTAGGAAGTCTTTGAGGATATTGAAGTTATAGATCTAGTTTTTAGTTACAGCTTCCATGTAGTGTTGACAGAATGCCTTTTTAGAGTTCTTGCTATTGCACCCCTTACACACACACACACACACACACACACACCACACACCACACACACACACACACACACACACACACACCACACACACCACACACACACACCACACACACACACACAAGCCTCATATAGGCTACATTATATTCACGCATATGTAGCCTATTTACTCATGTATTTATATATCTCGGTGTAAAGCCCCTTGATTTGTATATCACTCCACATTAGTGGCCTCCAAGTTTCAAGAGGAATATGAATGTGTTTCCCATAGCTTCATTCTGTCTGATGTGAAGCTTGCGGGTCTATTTAAATCAGGTGTATCTATGCAACCGGTGCAGAGAGATATGGAAATGTTTGCCACGGTCCGTGCCATGGTGAAACTTGCACTCCTGTAGATCTGAAATAATTGAATGGTGAAACTTGCATCCAGCCATCCAGAAAAGCAAGGCGAAGCAATTCAGGCATTCTTGAAAGTCAGGACAATACTTGTCCTGCAAATAAACATTATTTTTATAGTTGAAAAAATAGAGCAGTAGGCATTTAGAATTAAATGTGGAGTGGAGCTTGATAGTTAGGCCTACGTGATGACATCAGGTGCCCGCGTACCTTCAAAATTATTTATTCGAAAAACGCTCTTTTAATCATATTTTGTTGCAATAAAGAAAAAGAAAAGAAAAATCCACCCCCCTGACAAACGGATAAAAATGTTGATCTTTAGAACATTTCTCCTATAGCTGCCGTTTTCATTACACATGTTGCAATTATTTTTGTTGTTGCTTTTGTGGAAAAAACCTGGGTCAATGGAAACCTGGCTGCTGTGTCGCCCGGGACGTTAGAGAAGCGCAGCAGAGGGCTTTGACACCCGGAGAGGGTGGGAAGCAGCAAGATGACAACGGGAGATGGGCGGTTGACTGCTTTGGGGGCGTTTTAGACAGGCAGGCAGGAGGACACCTTGGGGGGTTTTAGACAGGCATGTAGGAGGACACCTTGGGGGGTTTTAGACAGGCAGGCAGGAGGACACCTTGGGGGGTTTTAGACAGGCATGTAGGAGGACACCTTGGGGGGTTTTAGACAGGCAGGCAGGAGGACACCTTGGGGGGTTTTAGACAGGCAGGCAGGAAGACACCTTGGGGGGGTTTTAGACAGACAGGCAGGCAGGAGGACTCCACCTTGGGGGGGTTTTAGACAGGCAGTCAGGAGGACACCTTGGGGGGTTTTTAGACAGGCAGTCAGGAGGACACCTTGTTTTTTTTTTAGACAGGCAGAAGTACACCTTGTTGTTTTTTTAGACAGGCAGTCGGGAGGACACCTTGGTTTTTTTTTAGACAGGCAGTCAGGAGGACACCAGCTACGCTCTGATAGAAAAAAATCACTTTGCTCATGCTGCACATGTTGGGATTTGCCAGGTGTTTAGTGAATTATTATAAGCATCTTGCACTGACACACACACCAACACCGTAGCCACACACACCAACACCGCAGCCACACACACCAACACCGCAGCCACACACACCAACACCGCATCCACACACACACACCAACACTGCAGCCACACACACACACACACCAACACCGTAGCCACAAACACACACACACACCAACACCGCAGCCACACACACACACACCAACACCGCAGCCACACACACCAACACTGCAGCCACACACACCAACACCGCAGCCACACACACACCAACACTGCAGCCACACACACACACACACCAACACCGTAGCCACAAACACACACACACACCAACACCGTAGCCACAAACACACACACACACCAACACCGCAGCCACACACACACACACCAACACTGCAGCCACACACACCAACACCGCAGCCACACACACACACACCAACACCGCAGCCACACACACACACACACACCAACACCGCAGACACACACACACTCCTTCCCTGCCAGCTGGCTAATGACTACTTCATCTGCAGAAACTCACTGGGAGGGATGACTACACACATACACTCCCCCCCACACACACGTTCATACCCCCTGTCCCCCCTCTATAGCATGCCAACCAGATACCCCCTGTCCCCCCTCTATAGCATGCCAACCAGATACCCACCTTCTCCCCTCTATAGCATGCCAACCAGATACCCCGTCTCCCCTCTATAGCATGCCAACCAGATACCCCCTGTCCCCCCTCTATAGCATGCCAACCAGATACCCACCTTCTCCCCTCTATAGCATGCCAACCAGATACCCCGTCTCCCCTCTATAGCATGCCAACCAGATACCCCCTGTCCCCCCATCTATAGCATGCCAACCAGATACACCCTGTCCCCCTCCAAAATGGCAACCTATTCCCTACTTAATGCACTACTTTTGACAAGAGACCATAGGGAAGAGGGTGCCATTTAGGACCCTGACTGTCAGACTCCATCCTGTATCCATTCAACACGTGCCACTCTCACCACTTGCCATTACCTCTGGAAATGAAAACATCATGATGCCCAAATCCAGCTAAAGCCAGCCTGTCGTTGTCTCCACTATGCATCTGTCAGCATCCTCAAGGGCAATGATGCCTGTTGGAGCCCCAGAGACAAGGTCAGCACAGCAGCCAGCCTGGCCTGGCTTAGTGCAGCACAGGGAGGGCTGGGAGGGGATGGGGATGGGAGGGGATGGGGATGAGAGGGGAGGGGAGGGGAGAGGAGGGGGGAGAGAGGAGGAGAGGGGGGAGGGGAGAGAGGAGGAGAGAAGAGAGAGGAGGGGAGAGGAGAGAGGAGGGGAGAGGAGGGGAGGGGGGAGAGAGGAGGATAGGGGAGAGAGGGGAGGGGGGAGAGAAGAGAGGGGGGAGGAGAGGGGGGAGGGGGGGGGGGAGAAAGAGGGGATTAGTATTTATGGAGCACGGCCTATTAATAGAAAACAAAAAGCCCATCTGCAGGATTGATGTGTGTGTTTGTCAGCATGCATGTGTTTAAAGTGGTTGTCTGTGTTTATGTGTATCAGTGTGCATAATGTGGCCTATATTTGTCATCCGGTGTGTGACTGTCTGTCGGTCATTATTGAGTTTGTAGGTGCATTCGCGCAATGTGTTTGCAACTTGCCAGAGAGTGCCTGTGTGTCGGTGGAAAGTGTGAAACACTGGTAGCCTACGGACCAGTCCACACTGTGTGGCTTTGTGGTTGATCATGTTCAGAGTTCCTCCTCTACTGTGCCAGGTGACTGACTGACAGACAGGTGTTGAGCCGTGGCAGGACTCCTCTCAACACTGACTTTGTCTTAACACCCACAGTGACCTACTGTACCAGTTGAATGTGCATGACAATTATCTCTGTGAGCACTGACCAGAGCACTCTCATCTCTTTTATATGTTATGTATTTAGATCAAAGGAAAATAGCTTATCAAATATGCAAGGAGAACAGAGATTGCTTATGATCCCTGTTCACATAGACAATATCTGTGGTATCTTTTGTTGCGATCCTGGTCTCAGATCTGTCTGTGCTGTCAAAAAGACGTGGGACCAGGCTATTTTGCTGCTGATCGCATGATTTAAAGTGTAAAAGAACCAGCAGGTGCTGTTGACATTCCAAGGCCTGATCATCAGTCCGGTCCAGAAGTATCCAGACTATGTGCTGAAAGAAACTCCAAGCTTGACCTGTCTCTCTCTGGAGGTCTGCTGCGGAGTAGGGTGAAATTACCCCCAAGATAGACGCTGATCTAATGGTTAAGGTTAGGATTGGGGGAGGGGAAGCTGATCCTAGATCTGTACTTAGGGGAAACTTTACCTCATAGCCTCTGTTGCTAGGGAACAGTTGGGAAGGATTGTACAGCTGTATGGGGCTGCACAGTAGAGGAGGGTTTGAGTTACCACTCATCACCATAACCTGAAACTGCAACGCAAATTGAATTGGGATGGAGTTAATAGATGTTGACGTCATTTAATCACAAGGCCTCTTTAATTGCTTATATACAATTCATAGATTGCACGTGCAGTTTAGCCAAGTTATTGGTCATGATTTGGTTACCTTTCTCTAGGCATGTTTGTTTACACTCAAGGAATGTGGAAAGACATTCTGTAAAGGTGGCTCAAGTAGATTGACATTTGCAGTGGTCAACTTTGGGTCATGAATTGGTGACCTTTGTCTAGTCACGTTTTTGTTAATGCTCAATGATGAAGGTTTCATCTTTTTGGTATTTTATTGAAGCTTCTGTGTTGTTTTGTTTGCCCTTCAAATGCTTGGCCTGCCCATAATAGGTACTGTATATAAGCTATCCTGAGCCCTGTCAAACTAGCAGATGTATAGACCCTGTCTACATGCTGCTAGCTAGACTGCTCTATGCCTGTACCCCTGTAGCCAGAATCAACAGGTTAGAATGAGCTGACGAACACACTGCACTCAATCCCCTTAGCCATTGGCTCACGTGTAGGTACTCGGCACACAGACGATACATGGATTAGGGGTCAATTAGGTAGACGATGATTGCGTATGATTTGGTTGGGGTCGGTGTCATGATTCTCGTCACTATTCAACAAAGGTGTAGGACTAATTGATAGGTCTTCCCGGAAGGGGAGGGCTGTTACAGTGACCGTATTACCGCCACACCGGCGGTCACGAGTCATGATGGCAGTCAAATTCCACGTGACCGTTTAGTCACAGTAATTAGGCTTCTCCAAGCTCTGATGCTGCTGCTGGTCATTAGTATCCTACCAAACTTGCTAACTGCCTGGTACTCAGCACTCTATGGTCCCTCTAATCACTCTGACATCAATGCAAATGTGATCGGAAATCTAATCAAACACTTCATGAGAGTCCATGAGCTCATGTTGCTCAACATTTCTATAGGCTATGCAATTGCGTGAGAAAACAGAGTGATGGCCTCTACTAAAAAGAGGATCCCATCAGCTTTCTATAGGCTAGGCCTACTATATTTATTTCTCTACTTTCCTAATATTAAGCACATTGCTTCTCTTTACAACAGGATGGCATGAAAATGAACCATGGGAATAGCGTCCTCCATTTGCTATTTAAGTGCATAGATGACATGTATTTTTTCCCCCTGCCCCTGTTTCGAGACAGGTGCATGATAATGGTCCATTGTAAATCAAAACAAATTTCACACATACACTACCGTTCAAAGTTTGGGGTCACTTAGAAATGTCCTTGTTTTCGAAAGAAAACCAATTTTTTTGTCCATTAAAATAACATCAAATTGATCAGAAATACAGTGTAGACATTGTTAATGTTGTAAATGGCTATTGTAGTTGGAAACGGCTGATTTTTAATGGAATATCTACATAGGCGTACAGAGGCCCATTATCAGCAACCATCAGTCCTGTGTTCCAATGGCACGTTGTGTTTGTTAATCCAAGTTTATCATTTTAAAAGGCTAATTGATCATTAGAAAACCCTTTTGCAATTATGTTAGCACAGCTGAAAACTATTGTGCTGATTTAAAGAACCAATAAAACTGGCCTTCTTGAAACTAGTTGAGTATCTGGAGCATCAGCAATTACGGGTTCGATTACGGGCTCAAAATGGCCAGAAACAAATAACTTTCTTCTGAAACTCGTCAGTCTATTCTTGTTCTGAGAAATGAAGGCTATTCCATGCGAGAAATTTACAAGAAACTGAAGATCTCGTACAACGCTGTGTACAACTCCCTTCACAGAACAGCGCAAACTGGCTCTAACCAGAATAGAAAGAGGAGTGGGAGGCCCCGGTGCACAACTGATCTAGACGACAAATAAATTAGAGTGTCTAGTTTGAGAAACAGACGCCTCACAGGTCCTCAACTGGCAGCTTCATTAAATAGTACCCACAAAACACCAGTCTCAAGCTGCCAGTTGAGGACCTGTGAGGCGTTTGTTTCTCAAACTATGTGCAAATCATCAATAGGCAAAATAAGCTTTTCTTAGGCGCTGTCATGACACACTAGATAGAGTATGGTATCGCCGGCCAGCTGATGATAAATAAAATAATAAATAATATACCATTTAGCAGACGCTTTTATCCAAAGCGACTTACAGTCATGCGTGTATACATTTTTTTTTGTGTATGGGTGGTCCCGGGGATCGAACCCACTACCTTGGCGTTACAAGCGCCGTGCTCTACCAGCTGAGCTACTATGCTCTACCAGAGAGCCCTATGATGTTAGCCTGTCCACTAGAGGTGCCTGGGCACCCTAAACACACCCACCCCCTTCACCGCCGCCTCCTGCTCTCTATCATAGGGCTCTCAAACTCCTTAAGGAGTTGGAATGTAGTATTAAAGGGATACTTTGGGATGTTGGCAATGAGGTCCTTTATCTATTTCCCCAGAGTCAGATTAACTTGTGGATACCATTTTTATGTCTCTGCGTGCAACTTGAAGGAGGTTGCTAACAAGCGCTGGCGCAATTGCTAACTAGCGTTAGCGCAATGACTAAGTGTGTATGGGTATCTGTTAGCATTCTAGCATTCTAGTCATACCCATACACTTCTAGTCATTGCGCTGACGCTAGTTAGCATTGGCTCGCGAAACTACCTCTAACTTCCTTCATACTGGACACAGAGACATAAAAATGGTATCCACAAGTTCATCTGACTCTGGGGAAATTGCAAAAATCCTGAAGTATCCCTTTAAGTGTGTGGACTCCCTACTAGCGTTAAAGGAGAAGTTTACCCAAAATCCAGAAACTCCCAAGTGATTCCATACAATGAAACTAGTTTGCCCTCTCCCACTCTCTCTCCCTGTAGTGCTGTGCTGAAACAGCTGCAAAAATAGGTCACGTGACTCGTGACGTTGCTGGATGCAGGCCTTGCACAATGCCTCAACAATGATTATCTTCACAAAGGTGCGTCAATGGTACACCAGATATGTTCAACAGCACTATCAAAGGCCTAGGCTAACACTATGCTATCTGTATTGTGTTTTATTCCTTTTAAATTGATTGAACTAATACTATGGTCAAAATAGTAATTTCTTTGTCGGGAGTCCCCTGCCTATGATCAGTGGTGGAAAAAGTACTCAATTGTCATACTTGAGTAAAGATACCTTTAATAGAAAATTACTCAAGTGAAAGTCACCAAGTAAAATACTACTTGAGTAAAAGTCTAAAAGTATCTGTTTTCAAATGTACTTAAGTACAGTGTTGGAAAAAGTACTCAATCATCATACTTGAGTAAAAGTAAATGTTATACATCAAATTCCTTATATTAAGCAGTGGTGAAAAAAGTACCCAAAAGCCATACTTGAGTAAAAGTAAAGATACCTTACTGGAAAATGACTCAAGTAAAAGTCACCCATTAGAATACTACTTGAGTAAAAGTTTTTAAGTACCTGATATTAAATAGCCGTAAGGTAAATGTACTTAAGTATCAAAAGTAAAAGTATGAAACGTAAGAGCCGTAAATCCAAAAAGCAAAACAGCCAGACCTTTTATTTGGTTTGAGCTTTTCTGAAAGGTAACAGTCTTACAGATGCAAGAAGAGCTCAGATTTTAAAAAGAAAGTGGATTCTCAAATAGGCAACACTTCAAAATACATCTCTTACAGACTAAATAGAATTACAGTGCCTTGCAAAAGTATTCATCCCCCTTGGCGTTTTTCCTATTTTGTTGCATTACAACCTGTAATTTAAATGGATTTTTATTTGGATTTCATGTAATGGACATACACAAAATAGTCCAAATTGGTGAAGTGAAATGAAAAAAAATTACTTGTTTCAAAAAATTCAAAAAAATAAATAACAGAAAAGTGGTGCATGCATATGTTTTCACCCCCTTTGCTATGAAGCCCCTAAATAAGCTCTGGTGCAACCAATTACCTTCAGAAGTCACATAATTAGTTAGATTGCACACAGGTGGACTTTATTTAAGTGTCACGTGATCTCAGTGTATATATACACCTG